ACGACTATTGGGTCTGGACAGCGGCTGACACACGCTTTATGGATATCATTTATATTATTGTACAGTTCATGTATCATTTGTATCTACTAGATTAGCCTTTTATGTAGTTGGGTCTATTGGGCTCATATTAGCGGCCAGGCCCAATATTTCTCTATATATACTACTCTTGGAACTTCTTGTAAACCTAGAACCAATATTCATTCATAATACACTATTCATCTTCTTCTATACTTCTTTAGGTCAATCTCTCTATTTATTATATAATTTGGATACCCTATTATCTATCTATCATTTGGTGCTTTCATTGAGAGTTTTGAACAAAATCAAGTTAGAGTCCTCCCAAAAATGTCAAAAATTTCATCACAATCTTGAAGAGATCAGTCAAAAATTATTCTAGAAAAGTCCAAAAGAAAACCAATCTCGGAAAAGAAAAAAAGAATATGTGATCCGGTTTTCCACAAATCTGCCGGAACCGCCATTGTTGTGCAGCGTCGCTGTTCTCAGCCAGCCCCAGGTCTACCCCGAATCTCGCCCGGACACTAGATGTAACAATGTCCCCAAATATATTTACTTTTAAGTGATAATGTATTGAACCTTTTGGAATGGTTAATGAATTTACGAAGTTGTGAATTTTTATTAATTCTTTCGAGTGAATAGTAAATTTGCACGCGAGGCCCACACCGGGAGCGAGGACTGCCCGATATTCCCAAGACCATATATTTTATTCATCTTGGTCGAGATAATATTTATATAGTGGTGGATAATTTATTTGGGCCAAAGAAAAGACATAATGTGGACTGATTGGTCAAAAGTGACTCAATTACCGGTTTCGGTAATTTCACAGATAACAGCCCGAAATGAATTTCGGAGGCTTATAAATTAAATTTGGGGGATGTATATTCATTATAAATTCCATAATAATTGAGAATAAGTAATATATTTTATTTGACCCAATAAAATAAAATATATTTAAAACAATCCGAAAAATACAACTTTCGGGGCTAATTGTACACTTCTGGACAAAAAGGGTTGACCTCCCACATGGGTGGGGGCCAACCCACGAATTTGGTCATTCAAATTAAGAGGGTGGGCGCCTGGAATGGAAAGGAGAAGGTGGGAGATGTTGGGGTTGAATGGAAAGGCATCAAAGGTAATCTAACACCAAGCAAGAGCAAGAAGTACCTCCAGCCACCTCTCACCATTGTTGAAGGGAGCTCAACAAGGAAGTATCCCAAGAAAAGAAGTTAAATTGCTAAAAGTGTGAAAATTAAGGTAATAACATTATCATAACTTTTCCTTGATTTTTCTTCCATTATATGAGATATATATCATATGAAGAACCCTTGGGATTGTTCTACATGATTTGAGTGTGGGATAATGGGTTGGAGAGTGGTTCTAAGTCCAAGAACGGACTTAAAAGCCAAACCGACCGGTTCGCCGGAAAATAACCTTTTAGAGGTTATTTGTATTAATATGGGTTTTATGATTTTAAAACCTTGTTAGGCACTTGTATAAGATATTTCAAGAGCTTTCATGAAGTTGAAAGAGTCGCCGGAGTTGTCGCCGGAGTTCGTCAAAAGTCGCCGGAGTTCAACCAAGAAGGGTAGAACTTCATAGCGCTTCGAGGTGAGGATGACTGACTATATTGCTTATAATTAGTGAGTTAATTTCATGAGATTACTTAAGGTAATTAAATGTGTTTTTAAGGATTATTAATGATTAATAATGCCTAAGAATTTCTGTTTCATATCTTATAGTTGACTTTCTTTTTATATTTTTTTGTTTTATAGAAACTTATTAAATTATATCTACAATCAATCTCTATGAAGTTCAATATGTGAATCTAATGTAATATGATACTTTTGAAATATGCATTGATATAACATTTTAAAAATGAGCATAACATCAGTATCGATTGAGCCTATGTAACTTACAAAATAAGCATTAATATGAAAATAATAAGCTTTGTTAGTTGAGCATCAAGACATTTTTTCATTGAGCATTAAACCTCCTCTATTGAGTATTAGAAGCGTGCAATTGAATACCGATTGAGCATTCGTAAATTATAAAATGAGCATTAGTATGACATCAAAACGTTTTCATTGAGCATCAAATCTTCTCTATTGAGTATTAAAAACATGCAATTGAATATCATGATCTGTGCTCTCGTATCTGTAATTAACTTCTACTTCAATCTAATTTAATATGTTACTCTTGAAACATGGATTGATATAACATTTTAAAATGGGCATAACATCAGTACCATATGAGCATACATAACTTACAAAAAGAGCATTGATATGGAAATCGCAAATTTTGTTAATTGAAAATCAAAACATTTTCATTGAGCATCAAACTTTCTTTTATTGAATTACAAATATAATCGTGTTCTTTTTATAATTAATGTTTACTCATGCACATTTATTTTACACTATACTCATTTTTGTATAAAACAAAATTGAGTAATTAAAACACAATATATAATAAACTAATAAAGATATATAATTAAAATAAAAAAAATAGAAAAATAAAAATCAATACCTAAAACTTTTTATATTACACAAATTAAAAAAAAAACTAAGTTAGAAAGTTGATTGGAAAAAGGGAAAATCTGGGACATTAAGTAATATTTTATATTATAGATTTTCATGATAACTTAATTTGAAATTAAAACAAAATTGTTAAAAGAAAAAAACAAAAACCTGAAAAGGAAGAACCGAAAGAAAACAAAACGGTTGTTACCGAATAAAACAAAAGAAAACAAAGAACTCAAAACAAGGAGTAAGCAACGAACGAACTGAATGCTAAGCAAATTAAACCGCCGGATGTATGTAGCACCGGCGGTACGATATAATTTACCCAAGTTGCCGGCATCGAGCTTGAAGGACAGCAATGACAAAGTAGCGTAAATGTGAGATTAGGTTAGGAAGACTGTGTAGAAGTTAAGCGGATGGGGGCCGAATGAATCATGTTTCAATTTTTAAATCACTTTTTTGTCCAATCAGTTATTAGTCATATTTTGAAATTGAAAAATGTAGGATTAACATTCATGCCATTTTTTCTATACTAATCACCTCCCAAAATATGACACAAGTTTAGGGGATTATATTGACTTCAATATGCCATGTTTGAAAATTTGGTTAACGTGATCGAAAAATGAGAACGCTTCAAAATGATGCACATTATAGTTCACGTAAGTGCACATTTGTAGTTTAAACAATGTAAAGTTCAAATGTGCACATTTGTGATTAAAGTAATGCACAGTTCGAATGCAGATTTTTATAATTTGTGATAGTGCATATTTCAGTTTCACATATTGCATGATACTCAAATCCAACACTTCAAAATCATTTACATTTCTAAAATCATTTTTCATTTCCCTTTTTTGTTAAGAAGTTGTGGTTCACAACATTTCTTATGATTCTTACACATTTCTCTCTCACCTGCACAACTATCCATCATACAATACTCATCATCTTAATCCCCGTGACAAATGTACTTTGAAATATAATTAAGGAATGAAGGGAGTACCATTTGTAAAGATGCATACTCACTGTTATCAACGTCTTGTATAATCTAATCTAATATGATTTAAATTTGACCAAATAAATATGAATGAACCATGAACCGTTAGTAAGGGAGTGTTTGCAATAGCTTAAAAAAGCGCTTCTCAGCTTTTGGCTTAAAAAAACACTCGTTTACCAAACACTACAAATTTTTACTTTTCCTCGGCTTGCGTGTGAAAAGTGTTTTTCCCTTTTTTATTACACAAAAAGCACTTATTTTACCAAAACACTATCAACTTTTACTTTTCAAAATCTTTTTTTTTCAAACACTATTAACTTTTACTACTTATCACTTTTTCTCAATCATTCCAAAAGTGCTTTTTTAAGCAGTTGCAAACACTTCCTAAGTAGGGCTAAGTTCCATAGCATCTATCCGCTATAAATAAATTTGGTGCCAACATTCTGGTTTAATTTTGTACGGAGTATATTTATACTACGTAAATTGTATCAAATCAAGTCAGTCAACTACTATCAATATAAGTCTGTGGGCCTCAAGTAGGTTGCAGTTATTTTTTTAATGGTTTTGATCAAAGTAGGTTCTTTTGATGCAAAACAAAATTGGAAGCACTGAGTATAGCGAAGTAGATTCTCTGAAATTGCTCACTCCATTACCAAAGAAAATTGACCAACAAAAGAGTCAACCAAAGCACAAACAATACTACGTACATCACAATCATTTATTTATATAAATGAATGATTAGAATTTGGATTTTTTACATTATGAGCTAATTCTTATTCTTGATTTATGATCTTTATAGCAAACTTTTTTTATTAAATAGGTAACTTTTGATTACATAATCCATATTTTTATTAGTAAATATAACTTTTTTATAATTAATGAAATTTAGTGTATCTTTGGTAAGCATAAGTCCTTACCTTCTAACTTTATATAATTTAAATCTTTAAAAATTTCTAGTTGAATGTTTGACAAGATATTTTTTAAGAGCTTTTTTAAAATTAAATTTCTTGTTTGAGATGCTACCGTGATTAGCGTTCAAGAAAAGTCTATAACTTTTAGCATTAATTAGTTTCAAACATTTATATACCAAACCGAACTAAATCAAATAGCCAACTTTTTATCAAACAGTTAACACTTTTTTCTTTTAAAAGCTAATCGTTAATAACAAGCTCATAAAAGTATCTTTTGAGATAGTTGTGCCAACATACTCTTAGGGGTGTTTGAAACTGGTTTGGTTTCTGAATTTTTAAAAGCAGAAGCAGAATCCATTTTCAAAAGTTGGTCTCCTCCACCTTCTAAAAAACTGCTTCTAGGAGTAAATTAGAACAACAGAAGTACTTCTTCATTTTCTCTCAAACACTCCAACTTCTGCTCTTGTTTTCTGAAAGAGCAGAAGCAATTTTAAGAATCGGATCGAAACACCCTCTTAATCCATTCAACTTATTCATTCACAATTTCACAAACTTTTAGAAATAGCCAATTATCAAGTTTTTCTACTACTAAATCTGTTGATTAGCGCAATTATTGCTAATGGTAAAAGAAGAATTTGCTTTGTTAGACTTACTTTCCATGGAGAAAAACAAAAATTTCTAATGGTATTTTTTCTTGAACCTCAAAAGTCAAAGGAATACAGATTAAAATGATCCATTGAAGAAGGAGATGGAAAAACCAGTGGAGCTGAAAACAACGCCGACGGGCTCGGACTGAGCATGCTGTTCATGAACATCAACGGGTCCGACGCCGGAGGAAAATGCCCGGACGGCGAGATGGGCAGCAAACTTGTCGGCGCCGGAGATAAAATCCCTTGGATCTGCCCCCTTTCAACCGTTGAATTCTCGATTATCTGCTGAAGATCAGTCGCCGCTGCTTCCGAACTTGGCATTTCCGGCTGCCGATCCGAAGAGCCGACTTTCTCTATCGAAGCGAGCCTCGCCGCCGGAGACAGAGCGCCGGATCCGCCGGCTGCGGGCGAGGAATCGCCGTAAGAGGACGAGGTCCCGGTGAGGCGCTGGACCACATTCATGAAGTCGCCGACAGTGGTGTGGATGACTTTGGGAGAGACGGCGTAAATAATCACCGGCTGGGGGTTCTGCGCGGCGGGCGCCGCCGTGCGGAGCAGAGCATTCGGCGGCGGATGTGGGGCGACCGGCGGTTTCTTGATCTTGTGGGAGTCCTTGTTGACTCGGAGCGGAGCCGGACGGGGACCCAGAAGCTCTCTCCTCGTCGGCGACGGCCTGTCGGTGATGCCAAATGTACAATCCGGCGGAGTAGAGTCCATGCCGATCAATCGCCGGCGAGAAATTGATATTGAAATTGCTAAAAGGAAAAATGGGTTTTGAGATTTGGATTTTTTAGGGAGATGGGATTGGGAAGAAATTAATTAAAATCTGCAAAATGAGTTCAATAATCAATAGGAAGTATTTTCCCTTGCTTATTTATTTATCCGGATTCCGGGCAACTTCCTTTTCTACTCGGAATATAGGAAATATATATAGTTTTTGTTTTTCTATTATCATTTTGGTACTCCCTCCGTCCCAGAATTAACTTCGGTTTTGACTGGGCACGAAGATTAAGAAAGTAGGAAATATGTGGTGGAGAGTTGTGCAGAGGAGAGAGAAATGTGTAAGAATGGTTGTGAACCACAAATCCTTTGCTAAAAAGGGAAAGAGGAGATAAATTTGGGACGGACCAAAAAGGAAAGAATGAAGATTATTATGGGACGGAGGGAGTATAAAAAAATGTGGGACTTTCTATTTTTTAATAAAACATTTCACGGACTTTTCCGACATGACTTTTGTAGTTAGCATTATTTGGAAAGTTCAAAGTTGTAACCTCAAAGTATGTTCAAGGTTTCAGTACTGCATTAGGAATTTAGTATTTAATTATTTTCAATGTCCATTTATTTTTAATCAAAGATCCCTTTCCATCAACTGTATTTTGACTTTTTGATGTCAATTAAAGTAGTGTTCCATACATAAATCAATGCACTATGTCACATTTTTTCATCATGGGTTCCTATCAAATTAAACAATGAGTAAACCATTTCTCGAATTAGACACCACAAGCATTTTAAAGCGATATGCGGTATGGTACACTATGCTAAATCTTATAAAAATACAATACTCATCATTCTAAGATTATTCTAAAAAAAAATATAAAATTCATTAACTTTTATATGTGTTGAAAGAACACTATAGAACTATAATGATTTCTTTTTACAATATTAACTGATTCATGATTAAGATTAGCTGTTTTTAGTATTTATTTACATATTAGTTAATATGTATTTTCTGCAATCCAGGGAATATCACTTAGCATATTTTCTTTTCAACTTAAATTTGTTGGTCTTATAAACATCTGATCTCTGTACATTTTATAACTATATATGGAAGTCTGGTCTGGTATGGAACTGAAACCGTTCAAAAAAAACTTAAAAACATCCTTATTCACTTATTCTCTTGATGAAACCCATCACACGACTAGACCTGTACAAAACCGGGCCGGCCCGCCCAGCCCGCTCGCACAAATTAGCGGGCTTGGACATATATATTTACCCACCGGCCCGGCCCGAGCCCGCAACAACATATGGGCGGACTTGGGTTAGGGTGTAGGCCCGTTTGGGCCGATAAGCCCGGCCCGCTACATTTAGTATATATACATATACATACATATATATATATATAGAGTCCTGATCCTGTCCAGACGTCCGGACAGGAACTGCCGTCCGGCCGGCGGCGTTTGGCCGCCTTCCCGGTGGAATTTTTTGATGAAATTTTTATGGCATGTTCTCCATCAAGTCTAGTTTATCCACAAAAAAATTCAGCCAAAAACTCAATCGGGAAGGTCGTCAAATGATTTTTTCAAGTTAACTGGTCCGGAAAATACATATTCCGGACCAGTTAACTTGCAAAAATCATTTGACGACCTTCCCGATTGAGTTTTTGGCTGAATTTTTTTGTGGATAAACTAGACTTGATGTAGAACATGCCATAAAAATTTCATCAAAAAATTCCACCGGGAAGGCGGCCAAACGCCGCCGGCCGGACGGCGGTTCCTGTCCGGACGTCTGGACAGGATCATTTGTGTATATATATATATATATATTTATATGTACTAATTTATGTATTTATTCACATGTATATTTATATTTACTAATTTATATGTATACGTATTTACGGAAAAGATCCTGTCCAGCCGGAGGGACAGGATCCTCCGTCCGGCCGCCGCCGTTTGAGGCGGTTCCCGGTGGATCTTTTTCATGAAATTTTTATGGAATGTTCCTCATCAAGTCTAGTTTATCTTCACAAAAATTCAGCTAAAAATTCGATCGGGAAGGCAGTCAAATAATTTTTTGAAACATAACTGCGTTTTATATGTTTAATTTGGCGCAGTTATCTTCAAAAAATTATTTGACTGCCTTCCCGATCGAATTTTTAGCTGAATTTTTTGTGTGGATAAACTAGACTTGATGAGAAACATTCCATAAAAATTTCATCAAAAAACTCCACCGGGAACCGCCCCAAACGGCGGCGGCCAGACAGAAGATCTTGTCCCTCTTGCTGGACAGGATCATTCTTCTACATATTATAGTTTATTATGTTTAAATTTAAGTTTTTAGTTCTTAACAAATAGTCCAACCAATATAATACTCCTTATCTATTTTTGTACTTAAAGATAATACTTTGTGTTTGAATTTTAAATTTTAGATACAGTTTCTCATTAAAAGCGTATTAGCAATTTTTTAAATGTTGTAATATTATTTATAAAGTATTAAACAAATTATACTGTATAATTTTGAAAAATTTAAATTTTTCCCGGGCCGGGCGGCCCGGTGGACTGCCCGGCCCGCTCTTACGGGGTATGGACATGGAGTTAGGCCCAGACTGGCCGCCCACACATGATGGATAGAAAATTTATGAAAAGTCCGGCCCGAACCCGCTTTTGTGCAGGTTTACACACGACTAATGAAGAGCTCGTAAACTCTGTTGCAAAACAAATCTCGTGGTTGAGAAACTCATCACATTGGAACAAGCTAACAAGTAATTCGCTCAAAGCGATACTTTAAGACTTGATTCTCATTGGAGCCCTCATCGGACTACCTCACTCGTTTCTTTTAGTATGCCTTAAAACTACTTTGCAATTTTTTTCTCATCCAAATGTGATTAACGGTAATTTACACGCAAATATCATCTCACACTCCATACCCTAGGGTTGGAATGAATGAGAAATGCTAGGGGTACATAAGTTGTATATAACTTGTACATAAAATGTCGGTCACAGACAATTGGTACGGAGTTGCCTGTTAGCACAGACAAGAATTGTCTGTGTACACAGACAAATTTGTCTGTGTCCACAAACATTTATTTTTCTGTCAGTGTACTTTTTACAAAAAAGTAAATGTTTGTGGACACAGACAAATTTGTCTGTGTACACAGACAATTCTTGTCTGTGCTCACAGACAACTCCGTACTAATTGTCTGTGACTGTGACTGACATTTTGTGTACAAATTGTGTAGAACTTGTGTACCCTACCATTTCTGTGGAATGAATAGCCATCAATTAACATTCCGTAATAGTTTTATTCCACATAATGCCAAGGACCCCACCAATGAGTTTGGGCGACAGATTTGACAATTTTTCACCTCGCTTTGTATATAGGTGCATATAAGGCAACAAGCTCAATTGTAACTAAACTAATTTAAACCTACTTTGTAAAAATAAATTTAAACTATTTTAAGGACAACAAAATATGGAAGAGAACAAATATAACATACATATACTATGATGGATAGTCTACCCGGGGGGTATCTTATCCGAGGGGTTATTGCGGGAATAACTAGAGAGAAGTCAGAGCAAAATAGGAGGAGAGAGAGTCGATTTTATTAAATGAACTCGAGATGTGGAGTTGGGATGTAGATTGTGTCCGTTACAAGGAGAAATGGGCTGCTATTTATAGCAGCAATAAATGCGATGAGAGGACACGTGTCAGTAATCCAACGGCCGAAGGGTCACATCAGCCTGGTGGCACCGGCAGTGGTACGTCAACCGCATTGAATGCGGTTGGTGGATGCGACGTGGCATTAAATGCGGTGGTTGGCTGTCTCTAAAAGGAATCTTCGATGATTGAGCTTGTTCAGCCGAAGGCACCTTGTGTTGCCGAGGGCTCCTTGTGTAGCCGAAGGCTCCTTGCGTAGCCGAGGGCTTCTTGTGTAGCCGAAGGCTTCTTGTGTAGCCGAAGGCTTCTTGGGTAGCCGAGGGCTCCTTGTGTAGCCGAGGGCATGAGAATGCCGAAGGCTCATCTTTTTGTCCGTTTTCTTCCGGTAGCTTCTTATGCCAGAGAAGGCTATCCTGTGAGTTTTTGGAGCCTTCGGCCAAGGAGGCCGAAGGCCCCCCAGTGTGTATTCTGGGCTGCTTTGAGGCTTGGGCCGCGGTATTTGGGCCTGAGTTGTTTCCTGAGCTCAATGGACTTGTGTAGGAGAAGTAGGAGTCTACGGGCCGGGGGTTCCTGGGCCATATACTCCATCATACTACATTCGTTCCAAATTAATGGTGGCACTTTGTTTGAGCTCATAAATTAAAAATAGTATAAATTCTTGATGTATCATTTACTTGTACTCTAGTACTAACAAAATAAACAAAATTGGAATGACAACGTTGCAAGTTTATATAAAAGGAAGAGTAAAATATGAATAATACATAGAATAATTTGCCAAAAATGAAATTTGAGACAATTCAAAAAGGAAATACACAAATATAATTTTGAAATGGATAGAGTATATGATTAAGGGTTCCACATCACAATAACCAACATATCAAAAGTATGCTGTTAGAATCCCACATCGAAAAAGATTGAATTAACAATGTGCTATATTAAGAACTGAGCTACTCCTCTTGCCAAGTTGACCTCTTAGGATGGAACATCGGGTCTTAACATGGTAACGGAGCCAAATCGATCCATGGTGTGGGCCCCTTTATGAAAAATGACGACACGATTATAAAAAAATGACAATGACGAACCGACAAAAAAAATGAATGACGACACAATCCAGACAAAGTGTCTGGTCGTGAGGAGGGGTGTTAGAATCCCACACCGGAATAGTTTGAATCAACAATGTGCTATATTAAGATCTGTGATACTCCTCCTATCAGGTTGACCTTTTAAGATAGAACCTCATATCTTAACATATACATTGGGCTTACTATATGATATGAGCATTTGGCCCTGCTCTCAATATTCCTTTGCTGATATGAACTGGGTAAGGTAGAATTACTTAACATACTCCTAACAATTTCAATTAACGTATGATTCCGCCTCTCGGTTACAACATTTTGTTGTGGTGTACCTGACATTGGGTATTGAGCACAAATGCCTCGACTTTCAAGGAATTTAGCGAATGGACGTGGACATTGTCCATATTCATTGGATTTCCCCTCACAACCTTAACTTTCTTCTC